GGTCTATTTAATTAAGTTTAATGTGTTGTCTGTATTTATTTAAAGTTGCGCATTTTGATGTGACGTCACATTTCTCATCCCCCCCCTCGTCACACATCGTCACAATGTCTGCCCCCCCCCCCCCCCCAGGTGCGTGACGTCATTTATGGGCGGCCCCCTAGAGCCTCGTGGCTCACGGGGCTGCGCCCAATAGATTTGCTTGATGCAGCAGATCTGGTTGTGACGATCCCACCTGATGACGGAGACTTGTGTTGCCTCCGAAACGTCGTGATCTTTATTATTTTATTTCTACCTACATGGTGACTTTACCGAAAAAACCCTAAGAGTATTAATCATTGCAGTCACGAAAGCTTCAAATCTAGAATTATGCCCAATAGACGAAACTGAACATTCTGTTGACACCGCGAGATGGCGCACGGCGCCACGCGGCTTAAAATGTCGGCCGCGCGCATGCGCAGTGCGCCCTGTAACCCCCCCCCACTCGCCCCGCCCCTCCCCCCACTGCCCCGCCCCTCCCCCACTGGCCCGCCCCTCTCCACCCTCCCCCCACCCTCCCCCACTGCCCCGCCCCTCCCCCACTGCCCCGCCCCTCTCCACCCTCCCCCCACCCTCCCCCACTGCCCCGCCCCTCCCCCACTGCCCCGCCCCTCTCCACCCTCCCCCCACCCTCCCCCACTGCCCCGCCCCTCTCCACCCTCCCCCCACCCTCCCCCACTGCCCCGCCCCTCTCCACCCTCCCCCCACCCTCCCCCACTGCCCCGCCCCTCCCCCACTGCCCCGCCCCTCTCCACCCTCCCCCCACCCTCCCCCACTGCCCCGCCCCTCCCCCACTGCCCCGCCCCTCTCCACCCTCCCCCCACCCTCCCCCACTGCCCCGCCCCTCTCCACCCTCCCCCCACCCTCCCCCACTGCCCCGCCCCTCTCCACCCTCCCCCCACCCTCCCCCCACACTCCCCCACTGCCCCGCCCCTCCCCCACCTGCCCCGCCCCTCCCCCACTGCCCCGCCCCTCTCCACCCTCCCCCCCACCCTCCCCCCACACTCCCCACGACTAAACACGAATCAGCCGGCGCTGCTGCTGCTGATTCGTTGTTGTTGGTGGTAGCGCAGCAACAACAACAACAATCAACAACAACAGTCAACAACAACACCACCACCACCAGAGTGTGTGTGTGTTGTGGCCTTGGAAGGGAAAATAGATAACAGACGACGTTTCGGACCAATGGCCCTTCTCAGTACAGCATCTGAATATTGTGTGTTTACCCTTTAGATGGAGAAATAATAAAAAATAACGACGCGGGGTCATTGAATGTCTGCTGAAGGCGAGCCACACGGCAATCGATTCCTCTCCACGAGCTCTACACGATGCGCCAATCAAAGTTGTAATTACGATTTGACTCCCGATTATTCGGGACCCCGGGGTCCCTCCATCAGGTTTATTTATTGCAGCCAAATCGCCCACTGAGACCCGCCCACTGGAGTCTCGACCAACAGCGAGGCTCCCCTCTCCCTCATCTTATTCAAACCCCCCCACCCTCTACCAACAACAGCCGCCGCCTCTCTTGTTGGCAATGTTCCGTGGAACTGCCTCTCTAAGAGCTTCGCAGCTCATCGGATTCCTCCAGAACAGTACTATGTACAGTACATGGTACAGTACATGCTACAGTACATAGTACAGTACACAGTACAGTACATAGTACAGTACATGGTACAGTACATAGCGCTGTACATGGTACAGTACATAGTACAGTATATGGTACAGTACACGGTGCAGTACATGGTACAGTATACGGTACAGTACATAGCACAGTACATGGTACAGTACACAGTGCTGTACATGGTACAGTACATAGTGCAGTACATAGTACAGTACATGGTACAGTACATGGTACAGTACGTAAATATTATTCTGATAATTCAAGCCCCGCCTCTCCAGACCCTCGCGTCAGCACCCTAAGCCCCGCCCCGCACATTCCACGTAGCTCCTCCCCCCTCCTCACAAGCCCCGCTCACTCGGTCACTGTCCAATCACCACGCCCTCTTCCCCACCCTAGCCCCGCCCACCCCACTCTAAAGCCCCGCCCACTCAGTCACTGTCCAATCACGACGCCCCCCCCACCCTAGCCCCGCCTACCCCACTCTAAAGCCCCGCCCACTCAGTCACTGTCCAATGCGACGCCCTCCTCCCCACCCTAGCCCCGCCTACCCCACTCTAAAGCCCCGCCCACTCAGTCACTGTCCAATCACGACGCCCTCTTCCCCACCCTAGCCCCGCCTACCCCACTCTAAAGCCCCGCCCACTCAGTCACTGTCCAATCACGACGCCCTCTTCCCCACCCTAGCCCCGCCTACCCCACTCACAAGCCCCGCCCACTCAGTCACTGTCCAATCACGACGCCATCTTCCCCACCCTAGCCCCGCCTACCTCACTCTAAAGCCCCGCCCACTCAGTCACTGTCCAATCACGACGCCCTCTTTCCCACCCTAGCCCCGCCTACCTCACTCTAAAGCCCCGACCACTCAGTCACTGTCCAATCACAACGCCCTCCTCCCACCCTAGCCCCGCCTACCTCACTCTAAAGCCCCGCCCACTCAGTCACTGTCCAATCGCGACGCCCTCTTCCCCACCCTATAGTCCCGCCTACCCCACTCTAAAGCCCGCCCACTCAGTCACTGTCCAATCGCGACGCCCTCCCACCCTATAGCCCCGCCCACCCTATCTAGCCCCGCCCACTCAGTCACTGTCCAATCGCGACGCCCCCCCACCCTAAAGCCCCGCCCACTCTATCTAGCCCCGCCCACTCAGTCACTGTCCAATCACGACGCCCCCCCACCCTATAGCCCCGCCCACCCTATCTAGCCCCGCCCACTCAGTCACTGTCCAATTACGACGCCCCCCCACCCTATAGCCCCGCCCACTCTATCTAGCCCCGCCCACTCAGTCACTGTCCAATTACGACGCCCCCCCACCCTATAGCCCCGCCCACCCTATCTAGCCCCGCCCCCCGTCGGACATATTGCGCGGAGCGGACGCTCAAGGAGCCACTTCCGGGAGTCGCGCGCGCAGCGGGAGGGGGGCGGGGCTGCGAGTTATTTATTTATTTACCCCCCCCCCCTACTACTGTACGAGTACAGTGCGTGCACACACACACAGACACTCACAACACTCGCACGACACCCAGACACTCACAACTCACGACACCCGCACTCGTGTCGCGTGTCCGCTGGCTCCGATCCACCTGCCCGCACCCCCCTGCCTCGCGGCCGGGCCCCGCCGCGTCTCGGTGCGTACGGAGCCGCGTCCGCAACGCGGCGGCGGCGTCGTAGTTGCCGAGGCCGAGGCTGTGGCTGTGTGCGCGGTGGCGAGGGGCGTTGCGCCCTGAGCTCTACATGTGTTGTGAGAAGGGCATTGCAGCTCTCCATCATGTAGCGGGGGGGGGGGGGGGGTGCGGGGTCGCGTAAATATGAATGTCGTTAAACCCGCCACCACCAGATAACTACCTCGCCTCGTGTGCAGGAGGTCGTGAGTTCCATCCAGACCCTGACGCCTTCTGCTGCTGCTGTAGATTTGGAGTTTGCGTGTCTCTCTCATCATCGTCACGGTGGCTATGAGATGTTGACTACCTCGCCTGGTCTACAGGAGGTCTGTCTCTCTCTCATCATCATCATCATCACGGTGGCTGTGAGATGTTGACTACCTCGCCTGGTCTACAGGAGGTCTGTGTCTCTCATCATCATCACGGTGGCTGTGAGATGTTGACTACCTCGCCTGGTCTACAGGACGTCTGTGTCTCTCTCTCATCATCATCATCATCACGGTGGCTAGGAGATGTTGACTACCTCGCCTGGTACACAGGAGGTCTGTGTCTCTCATCAACATCACCACGGTGGCTAGGAGATGTTGACTACCTCGCCTGGTCTACAGGAGGTCTGTGTCTCTCATCATCATCACGGTGGCTAGGAGATGTTGACTACCTCGCCTGGTCTACAGGAGGTCGTGAGTTCGATCTCAACCCTGACGATGCCTACTGCTGTATATTTGGAGTTTGCGTGTCTCTCTCTCATCATCATCACGGTGGCTATGAGATGTTAACTACCTCGCCTGGTATGCAGGAGGTCGTGGGTTCGATCTCAACCCTGACGATGCCTACTGCTGTATATTTGTGGAGTTTGTGTGTCTCATCATCATCACGGTGGCTATGAGATGTTAACCACCTCGCCTGGTCTACAGGAGGTCGTGGGTTCGATCCCGACCCTGACAATGCCTGCTGCTGCTGCTGTATATTTGTAGTTTGTGTGTCTCTCGATCTCTCTCCCCGTGGGTCGTGTGGATTCTTCTCCGCTTTCTCCCCTCCACATTTGGCTGCTGCTGTGAATATGGACGTGATGATGACGATGATGACGATGAGCCAACACGATCATTTGTGATGGCCGGTCGCTTCTGAAGAAATGAGCGACACAGAAACGTAGTGGGCTCTTACTTGGTAATAATAGAAGTAGTTTATAATTTAGTTTACAGGGAGCGGGCCGTGCTAGTTGCTCTACCCATGGTATCGATAATGTAGTTGAACACGCAGGCTTTCGCGACCAATATCATGCATAATATAGTGTAGTGTATAGTAGTCTATAGTGTAGTGTATAGTCGTGTATAGTGTAGTGTATAGTAGTGTGTTGTAGTGCATTGTATAGTGTGTAGTAGTGTATAGTGTGTATATTGTATAGTAGTGCGTATTGTAGTGTATAGTGTAGTTTATGTGTAGTGTATAGTGTAGTTTATGTGTGTAGTGTAGTTTATGTGTGTAGTGTAGTTTATGTGTGTAGTGTAGTGTATAGTGTAGTTTGTGTGTAGTGTTTAGTTGTAGTTTGTGTAGTGTAGTGTTTAGTTGTAGTTTATGTGTAGTGTTTAGTTGTAGTTTATGTGTAGTGTAGTGTTTAGTTGTAGTTTATGTGTAGTGTAGTGTTTAGTTGTAGTTTATGTGTAGTGTATAGTGTAGTTTATGTGTGTAGTGTAGTGTTTAGTTGTAGTTTATGTGTAGTGTATAGTGTAGTTTATGTGTGTAGTGTAGTGTTTAGTTGTAGTTTATGTGTAGTGTATAGTGTAGTTTATGTGTGTAGTGTAGTGTTTAGTTGTAGTTTATGTGTAGTGTAGTGTATAGTGTAGTTTATGCGTGTAGTGTGTAGTGGTGTGTAGTGTATAGTGTAGTTTATGTGTGTAGTGTAGTGTATAGTTGTAGTTTATGTGTAGTGTAGTGTATAGTGTAGTTTATGTGTGTAGTGTAGTGTGTAGTGGTGTGTAGTGTATAGTGTAGTTTATGTGTGTAGTGTAGTGTGTAGTGGTGTGTAGTGTATAGTGTAGTTTATGTGTGTAGTGTATTGTAGTGTGTAGTGGTGTGTAGTATATAGTGTATAGTATAGTGTATAGTGTAGTGTACAAGTACAGCACCACACCGGCGTGTTGGAGAGCCAAGCCGCAACATTTACAATCTGAGTTCGACGTTTCGCCAGTAATTACCACCAGCTTCATCAGGCGACAGCCGCATGATGGATCGATGTTGTAAACGGTGCGCGAGGCCGTACATCAAACACGCCGAGCCGCAACATTAGTGAGTGGTGGACATTCCACATTCCCATGACCGGACCAAGGACATCCATTCTGTTAAACCGCCCAATGTTGGCTTCTAGACAAAGCCTCTCTCGTGCGCTTGCACGGCCTCAACGTTAGTGAGTGGTGGACATTCCACATTCCCATGACCGGACCAAGGACATCCATTCCGTTCGACCGCTAAATGTTGGCTTCTCGACAAAGCCTCTCTCGTGCCCTTGCACGGCCTCAACTTGAGTCGGTGGTGGACATTCCACATTCCCATGACCGGACCAAGGACATCCATTCCGTTCGACCGCCCAAATGTCGACATCTCGGCACGGCGCAGCCGCGAACTGAACTCGTAGGCGGCTTATTAAGATTGTTGCTTCTCGATATTATTATTATTGTTGTTTATGTTTTAGTTTGTTTACGTTTGAGTTTATAATCTTAAATAATAATTAATATTTAACGCGGCGCCTCCCTACGGATGGATATCGGCGGCGGGAGTCGCGAGGAATCCGAGTCGAGAGGTTTGAGGCGATTTAAGTATTTTTTTTAAAGTTAAAGTTGTTTAAAAAGTTGTCTTCGTGCTGTTGCTGTTCGTCTGTTGCCGCTGTACGTTTTGTAAACGATTCTAGCAACAACAAAGACGTTAAATAAGTAAATTAGCCGCTGCGATTCGGTTACAAAGAGAGAGGAAAAATTAGCGCGAAACCTCTAACACTCGCCTCACGCTCTTAACGTTATTGTAACCCACACGAACTTGCTTGCGAATTACAAACTTTTAAAGTGTTTGCGGCGACAAGAGACGTTTTTTTAAACGATAACAAAAGTGTTTTAGTCTTTAATTCCGATCGCCGAGGAGGCGTTGCGCCCTAGGCCTTTAGCCTGAGGCCTTTCCTGGCCGCGGTGAAACTCGCGAATTATAAAAAAAAACTTAAACAAATTAAACTTTAAACGTTTTAAGTGAACGACGACTCAAAGTTATCGCTTGTGGCGGTGTTAGTCAGGCTGTGTGTGTAATGTTATTGTTTAATAAGCGGGGGGGGGGGAGGCGGTTAAAGTGATCGTGAGCGCTCTGCTCAGCACAACAATTTAACACAATTTAACACAATTAAACACAATTAAACATAAATTTAATGATGATACACGACGACGACTTTATTGTACTTGTGTGTGTATTCATAAACGACGATGAAAGTTGTTTGCGTCGCGCAGTGAACTTTGTTCGCTGCACGTTAACGTCGATTACTCGTAAGATGATGAAATGTGGAGGCCGCGGCTGACGATGTTTGTGTTTTATCAGCCGCTATTGTTTATTGTGTTTAACAAGCGGCATGGATATCACGAATGATAGCAGCTCAACCAAAGTGGCTTGTGTCATCGTAATCATCAATAAGCATCATCATAAGCATCATCATAAGCATCATAATCATCATAATCATCAATAAGCATCATAATCATCATAATCATCAATAAGCATCATAAGCATCATAATCATCATAATAATCATCGTGTGGCAATAATGTGTAGCAGCACAGAGACACACAGACACCCACAGAGACACACACTGAGACACACACAGATAGACACAGACACCCACAGAGACACATACACCCACAGAGACGCACCGACACCCACAGAGACACAGACACACACACAGACGCACAGACACCCACAGAGACACACAGACAACCACAGAGACACACAGACACCCACAGAGACGCACCGACACCCACAGAGACACCCACAGAGACACCCACAGAGACACACACAGACACACACACAGACACACACAGACACACACACAGACACACAGAGACACACAGACAACCACAGAGACGCACAGACACCCACAGAGACGCACAGACACCCACAGAGACGCACAGACACCCACAGAGACGCACAGACACCCACAGAGACGCACAGACACCCACAGAGACGCACAGACACCCACAGATGCGCACAGACACCCACAGAGACGCACAGACACCCACAGAGACGCACAGACACCCACAGATACGCACAGACACCCACAGATACGCACAGACACCCACAGATACGCACAGACACCCACAGAGACGCACAAACACCCACAGAGACGCACAGACACCCACAGAGACGCACAGACACCCACAGAGACGCACAGACACCCACAGAGACGCACAGACACCCACAGAGACGCACAGACACCCACAGAGACGCACAGACACCCACAGAGACGCACAGACACCTACAGAGACGCACAGACAACCACAGAGACGCACAGACACCCACAGAGACGCACAGACACCCACAGAGACGCACAGACACCCACAGAGACGCACAGACACCCACAGAGACGCACAGACACCCACAGAGACGCACAGACACCCACAGAGACGCACAGACACCCACAGAGACGCACAGACACCCACAGAGACGCACAGACACCCACAGAGACACACACCCACAGAGACACAGACACCCACAGCAATCCACAGAGACACACAGAGGCCAACAGACACCCACAGAGACACACAGACACCCACAGCGATCCACAGAGACACACAGACACCCACAGCGATCCACAGACACCCACAGAGACACACAGACACCCACAGCGATCCACAGAGACACACAAACTAAACTATTCTGTATTTTATTATTTTACACGCTTTTATTTAACTCACTCTGTTGTTGTATCCTCAAATCTTGTAACTCAATTTTAACCCACTTCCCAATGTGGTATCGACTGCAAACTTGGTATACTTATGTCATACTGATGACAATACTATATTCTATCATAAAAAATTAAAACAAATTAATTTTAAACATTCATTTTGTATATGTTATGTTTCGGCTTGGGTCTAATTGTCCACGCTCAACTGATATTGGCTGTAAATCACCACGGCCCCTTACGTTGTGGCAAGCTTCAGGGCCACTTCCTGGAGTCGTGGAGTTCTGCCATTACTCGTACGGTACATTTCATTAAAGCGTGTTTTTAAATAAGTTTTTTTAAAATATTACTTATTTTACCAGTTAAGGCCCCAACGAGCTGCTGGTTGTAGCTCTTTTACAGAAGCGCAGACCTGCCCATCACAAATGATAGTTCAACCACGTGGCTTGTCATCATTACGTGGAAATTTACAGTAGCAGGCAAATACTCTAAATGCATAGAGACCCATAGAGACCCATAGAGATATATAGAGACACAGAGACACATAGAGACCTATCAGAGATACATAGAGATACATAGATACAGATACCCACATAGTCATAAATACACAGAGGTGCAAAGAGACCCATAGAGACCCATAGAGACCCATAGAGACACATAGAGATACATAGAGACTCATAGAGATACATAGAGACTCATAGAGACACAGAGACATAGATACCTATTAGAGATACATAGAGATATATAGAGATCAACAAAGTGGCTTATCAGGATCACGTATACATTTATAGCAGCTTCCAAATGCTCTGAATGCATGCTGTTGATTCTAAACATGGAGGGGAATAACCCAAAGATCCAGAGAAAAATCTACGCGATCACGGAGAAAGAGAGACGCAGACTCCAAATATACAGCAGGCGTCAGGGTTGGGATGGAACCCACGACCTCCTGTAACCCAGGCGAGGTAGTTAACATCTAGCATCTGTGATGAGGATGAGAGAGACACGCAAACTCCACAAAAATACAGCAGGCATCAGGGTTGGGATGGAACCCATGACCTCATGTATACCAGGCGAGGTAGTTAACATCTCCTAGCGACCGGGACACCTGCAATATTAAGCGGACCTTGTACGGTCCGTGTCAGGTGGTGGAGGAGATGAACGACACGGGTTTAGTCGGGGCGTGAACATGGCCCCAACTCAAACATCAATTATGAATCCATACTCTTTGGTTCTTTCGGTAAAGTCACGTAGGTACAAAATAAATTGAATCACGACGTTTCGGGCGCAACACAAGTGACCGTCAACCACAGAGACACATAGACACCCACAGCAATAGACAATTGCTGAAATGGGCAACTTCAACAGTCACGAAAACTTCAAATCTAGATTCAATTATGAATCGTAATGGAGTTGAACGCAGCTTTTGTTGTTGGTTTACCGCCACCGCAGGGTAGGCGATGGATGTCTACCGTATTAGAACGACGACCCGTGGGCTGCCGATGTTATAGCCGGTGTGTTTGTGTGTGTGTTGCATGTCTCTCCCACTGCCCGTACGTAGCTGACCATGTCTAATAGGAGGTGCGGGGGTGAAGGACAACAAACTAAACGCAACAAGCAGTTCTAAAGAAACTAGTTTTCATTTAGCATAGTAGTGTTGTACCTCGCCTTGTAGTGTATAGTGTCGTGTATAGTAGTGTGTAGTGTAGTATACTGTAGTGTGTAGTGTAGAGTATCGTAGTGTATCATAGTGTATCATAGTGTATCGTAGTGTATAGTGTAGTATATAGTGTAGTGTATAGTAGTGTATTGTAGTGTATCGTAGTGTATAGTGTAGTATATAGTGTAGTGTATAGTAGTGTATTGTAGTGTATCGTAGTGTATCGTAGTGTATCATAGTGTATCGTAGTGTATAGTGTAGTATATAGTGTAGTGTATAGTAGTGTATTGTAGTGTATCGTAGTGTATAGTGTAGTATATAGTGTAGTGTATAGTAGTGTATTGTAGTGTATCATAGTGTATCGTAGTGTATAGTGTAGTATATAGTGTATAGTGTAGTGTATAGTGTCGTGTATAGTAGTGTATAGTGTAGTGTCGTGTATCGTAGTGTATAGTGTAGTATATAGTGCCGTGTATAGTAGTGTATAGTGTAGTATAGTATATAGTAGTGTGTAGTGTAGTATACTGTAGTGTATAGTGTAGTGTATCGTAGTGTATCGTGTAGTATATAGTGTATAGTGTAGTGTATAGTGTAGTGTATAGTAGTGTGTAGTGTAGTATACCGTAGTGTATTGTAGTGTATTGTAGTGTATCGTAGTGTATCGTAGTGTATAGTGTAGTGTATAGTAGTGTGTAGTGTAGTGTAGAGTATCGTAGTGTATCGTAGTGTATAGTGTAGTATATAGTGCCGTGTATAGTAGTGTATAGTGTAGTATACTGTAGTGTATAGTGTAGTATATAGTGTAGTGTATCGTAGTGTATAGTGTAGTGTATAGTGTATAGTAGTGTATAGAGTAGTGTATAGTGTAGTGTATAGTGTAGTATATAGTGCAGTATAGTGTGTATCGTAGTGTATAGTGTAGTATATAGTGTAGTATATAGTGTATAGTAGTATATAGTGTAGTATATAGTGTATAGTGTAGTGTATAGTGTAGTATATAGTGTATAGTAGTATATAGTGTAGTATATAGTGTATAGTAGTATATAGTGTAGTATATAGTGTATAGTGTAGTATAGTGTATAGTAGTATATAGTGTAGTGTATAGTGTAGTATATAGTGTAGTATATAGTGTAGTATAGTGTATGGTGTAGTATACTGTAGTGTATGTAGTGCAGTGTGTATAAAGTAAATGTACCCCAGGCTACCAAATAATACAAAATGGGTGAAGCAATTAAATATTCTATTTCTGGGAAACTTTTTTTTCCCAGGGGTGTTGCTCAACTCCGCGACTGGGGTAGCAATCAATCCGAAATCAGTGCCACACCCCGCGATGTGGAAACGCCAAACAGCATAACAAAAATCTGTTATCGAAAAATGCAACTTTGAAGAGTGCATCGTGAGTACAGCTCGTCGAGACGAGTCGATTGCCGCTTCTCCGACCATCAACAGACTAAGAATGACTTTGTCACGGACATTATGCGAGAGCCGGGGTACCGCCATGAGGTGCAGATGTTAACTTCTTTTCCACCGTACGTTGTCGACCGTGGCTAATCGGAGGTGCGGGGGAAGGACACGAAACTAAACACTAAAAGCAGCAGTGAGTGTTTTATTGCAAGTGAGATCGTATTTGATTCATGAGTCGGGAGACAATGTTTCGGCAATATTTCTGTCGTGGTAAGACCCCCCGCCCCCCCTTCACCACCACCAAACATCTATTTTGCTTGCTTACCCCGGGGAAAGCCTCGCTGAGTCTCAAGGCTCTCTCTCAGGAGGGTCTTGTTCGTTTTTAAATCCTTTATATTAAGTTCGCTTGCTTGCTTGCTTACGACCGTGCAAATCTTTCGGTCGTTTTTTAACCCACTTCCCGTGATCCAATCGAGCTGACATTTTGCACACAGACTCGTTGAAATTTTTTTTCCCAAAAATTTACACTGTTTAGGGAAAACAAATTAAATATTTAATTACCAATTGCTTAATACTGGCAGACAATCATCTGACCCATAGGTGGCAGCCATCTCAAGCCAGAGGACGAGAGGACTCTCGCCGCCCCGATGCCACGCATATAAAGGATTTATAGTGAAAAACTTTGTTTTTACGGGTTAATTTTTTCTTTGTGCAGTAGCGGTGGCGATGTTCAGCGTTTGGGATTTGTCTTGGCCAATACCAGTCACATTTTGTGCGCGTGTTTAGCCTTCATAGGTGCTCCGCTAACAGCACTTTCCCCAAAAGTCTGTTATGGCTATATGGGGGGGGGTCTCTGGTTAGCTTTGGTGGTAAGATGTTAACTACCTCGCCTTGTATACAGGAGGTCGTGGGTTCGATCATGGCACTGACAACTGCATATTTTGGGGTCTGCGTGTCTCTCTCATCACTACGGTGGCTAGGAGATGTTAACTACCTCGCCTTGTATACAGGAGGTCGTGGGTTCGATCATGGTCCTGATAACTGCATATTTTGGGGTCTGCGTGTCTCTCTGTGGTTGTGTGAATTGTTCTCCGGGTCCTCCGGTTTTTCCCCTCCGCATTTAGAATCGACATCACGCGCTGAGAGTGTTGCCGCTATACATCTCCACGTGATGATGATGAGTCCCTTCGTTGAGCTGATATCACTTGTGATGGCCATGTCTCAGGGCTTCTGAAAGAAGAGCTCTGCAGGAGATCCAAGATGATCGGGAGACTTATGGGGGGGAAGGGGGAGCTGTGTTTTCAAAAAACGGCGGATATTCACTCATCGTCATTATTAAAAAAAAAAGTTATTTGTGCACATTCTTGCATAACATGTTTTTAGGTGTGGTGTGTATGTGTTTGAAAGCGCTTTAAATGTTTTTATTATGTGAAATTGACATTAATAAACATACAAATAGACACAAAATAGATATCCTACTGTAAAAAAAGTTATCGTATTTACTGTAGCGTACTTACTACTCCAATCATCTCAATAAGACTTGCATCACGGGGTGATGTTAGCAGTCGTACTACGACTACAATGCTCTTGTTTCAACACAACCGCGCAGTTTGACGATCGCCGGACTGATGTCAACGCCAAATTTACATGAAGCAACTTTTCGCCAGATCGCACCGTCTCTATATTAATTGTTTTTACATTATCGAAGTTTATTACGGCCAGATGTTTCCATTTTAAGTTGTATGTACGTAGTGTTTAATGTACCGTATATGAAATTTGCGTGTGGCTACTTGTGTGCGTGCATGGCTACACGTGTATGTGCATGTGGCTAGGCGTGTGTTTACAGGTGTGTGTGTGGGGGTGTGTGTGTGGCTGTGCGCGTGTGTGTGTGTGCGTGTGTGGCTGTGTGCGTGTGTGTGTGTGCGTGTGTGCGTGTGTGGTTGTGTGCGTGTGTGGCTGTGTGCGTGTGTGGTTGTGCGCGTGTGTGGTTGTGCGCGTGTGTGGTTGTGTGCGTGTGTGCGTGCGCGTGTGTGGTTGTGTGCGTGTGTGGCTGTGTGCGTGTGTGTGTGTGGTTGTGTGCGTGTGTGGCTGTGTGCGTGTGTGTGTGCGTGTGTGGTTGTGTGCGTGTGTGTGTGTGCGTGTGGCTGTGTGCGTGTGTGGCTACGCGCGTGCAGGGAGACCATGGCCAGAGTCGCAGCCAACGGCCGGAGAGACGCACGGCAGCAGCCGGCCAGCGCACGCCGGGACCACCGCAAGGGCGGCCACACCCACGGTAGGGCCGCCTCCCGTGGTGCCGTGCGCGTGGTGGAGGGGCGGTCGCCACCGCCTGCTCTCTTCTGGTTGTGCCCCGTGTGGTGGGTGCTGGGGGCCCACGTGGCATGCCGTCAAAAAACTATTATTTTAAAAAAATGTTTTAACTACAGGGACTCCTCTACTTATAAACATTCGACTTCAGAACTTTCAGAGATACCAACAAACCTGTCCCCTATGTGTCCAGTTGCCTGTTCGGAGCGAGAGGTGTAAGTTGAACCGCCACGCAATAGATGGCGGTGGTGGCATCTACATCTACAGAACGTGAAGAACCAGTGGCATCTACATCTACAGAACGTGAAGAACCAGTGACATCTACATCTGTAGAATGTGAAGAACCAGTGACATCTACATCTGCAGAACATGAGGAACCAGTGGCATCTACATCTGCAGATCGTGAAGAACCAGTGACATCTACGTCTGTAGAATGTGAAGAACCAGTGGCATCTACAGAATGTGAAGAACCAGTGGCATCTACATCTGCAGAATGTGAAGAACCAGTGGCATCTACATCTGCAGAACGTGAAGAACCAGTGGCATCTACATCTGCAGAATGTGAAGAACCAGTGGCATCTACATCTGCAGAACGTGAAGAACCAGTGGCATCTACATCTGCAGAACGTGAAGAACCAGTGGCATCTACATCTGCAGAATGTGAAGAACCAGTGGCATCTGCAGAATGTGAAGAACCAGTGGCATCTACATCTACAGAACGTGAAGAACCAGTGGCATCTACATCTACAGAACGTGAAGAACCAGTGGCATCTACATCTACAGAACGTGAAGAACCAGTGGCATCTACATCTTCAGAACGTGAAGAACCAGTGGCATCTACATCGGCAGAACGTGAAGAACCAGTGGCATCTACATCTTCAGAACGTGAAGAACCAGCGGCATCTACATCTGCAGAATGTGATGAACCAGTGACATCTACATCTGCAGAACGTGAAGAACCAGTGGCATTTACATCTGCAGAATGTGAAGAACCAGTGGCATCTGCAGAATGTGAAGAACCAGTGGCATCTACATCTGCAGAACGTGAAGAACCAGTGGCATCTACATCTACAGAACGTGAAGAACCAGTGGCATCTACATCTGCAGAACGTGAAGAACCAGTGGCATGAACATCTACAGAACATGAAGAACCAGTGACATCTACATCTGCAGAATGTGAAGAACCAGTGGCATCTACATCTGCAGAACGTGAAGAACCAGTGGCATCTACATCTGTAGAATGTGAAGAACCAGTGACATCTACATCTGTAGAATGTGAAGAACCAGTGGCATCTACATCTGCAGAACATGAGGAACCAGTGGCATCTACATCTGCAGATCGTGAAGAACCAGTGACATCTACGTCTGTAGAATGTGAAGAACCAGTGGCATCTACAGAATGTGAAGAACCAGTGGCATCTACATCTACAGAACGTGAAGAACCAGTGGCATCTACATCTGCAGAATGTGAAGAACCAGTGGCATCTACATCTGCAGAACGTGAAGAACCAGTGGCATCTACATCTGCAGAACGTGAAGAACCAGTGGCATCTACATCTGCAGAATGTGAAGAACCAGTGGCATCTGCAGAATGTGAAGAACCAGTGGCATCTACATCTACAGAACGTGAAGAACCAGTGGCATGAACATCTACAGAACGTGAAGAACCAGTGGCATCTACATCTTCAGAACGTGAAGAACCAGTGGCATCTACATCGGCAGAACGTGAAGAACCAGTGGCATCTACATCTTCAGAACGTGAAGAACCAGCGGCATCTACATCTGCAGAATGTGATGAACCAGTGACATCTACATCTGCAGAACGTGAAGAACCAGTGGCATTTACATCTGCAGAATGTGAAGAACCAGTGGCATCTGCAGAATGTGAAGAACCAGTGGCATCTACATCTGCAGAACGTGAAGAACCAGTGGCATCTACATCTACAGAACGTGAAGAACCAGTGGCATCTACATCTGCAGAACGTGAAGAACCAGTGGCATGAACATCTACAGAACATGAAGAACCAGTGACATCTACATCTGCAGAATGTGAAGAACCAGTGGCATCTACATCTGCAGAACGTGAAGAACCAGTGGCATCTGCAGGAGATTGTGCAACTTTTAAAGCCATTTCCCATGTTTAGTGTACATGCCGTACAGCATGTTTGGGTTCGACAGTAAAGTTGGATTTGCGTACAGACCTGGACCCTAATTCGTTCGTAAGTAAAGGAGTCTCTGTATTTTTTCTAGATTTGAAGCTTTCGTGACTGCAAGGATTCATACTCTTAGGTTTTTTTCGGTAAAGTCACGTAGGTAAAAATAAATAATAAAAATAATAGAAATAATACAGTAAATCTCGCTGTGACGGTCCCACCTGATGACGGAGACTTGTGTTGCCTCCGAAACGTCGTGATTTAGAATTTTATTTCTATAATTATTTCTATTATTTTTCTTATTTATTTGTACCTACGTGACTTTACCGAAAAAAACCTAAGAGTATGAATCCTTGTATTTAGATTTTTCCAGGTAAGGCCCACTGAGCTATGTAGCTGGTTTTCAGGAGCGACCCCCTGGCCATCGCAAATGATAGCAGCAACTCAACAAAGTGGAATAATCAACAAAGTGGCTTGCATGGAGGGAAAAACCGGAGGACCCAGAGAAAAATCCACGCGACCATCATGGGGAGAGAGACACGCAAACTCCAAATATACAGCAGCAGGCAGGCATCGTCAGGGTCGGGATCAAACCCACGACTTCCTGTGAACCAGGCGCGGTAGTTAACATCTCCATGCCGCTGTGATGATGAGAGAGACGCTTGAGGATAATAACGCGCGTCGGAAGGCGTCCGCGGAAGCCGTGCGCACGCTCATTTTTGTCCCCCCCCCCCCTCGTTGAACTCGTCAGATCGCAAGCAAAGGAACGCCGCGGTCCACTCCTCCAAGGCGAGCAGAAAAGGTGCGGGCGGCCGTCGCTCGTCACACGCGCACACACGACAACAACAACAACAACAACAAACAACCGCCATTCACCGCCGAGCGGCGTTGACGTCACCACGTGCGCCTGTGCCAGGCCACGTGCGCAGCGGCTTTGCCGCAGACGAACCGCGGAATGGCGATGCCCCGTCGCCGATCGCGTCAAAGGGCTCCGAGCCACCGCTGGGCACGCCCCGGTTGTTATATTCTTAGGTTTTTTCGGTAAAGTCACGGTTGTGTTCTTCGCAGCGGCGGCAGCGGCCTTTGTCTGGCCAGCGCACGACAAAGACGGCGGTCACGGCGGTCGTCGGCGCGCGGCGCTCGCAGACGCTGCCGCTTCTGCGGCCGTCTGGAACGCTCTTCCGATGTTGGAAAGCCTCTGGAGCTGTCATCTAGATGGAAATCGTCGAGATTGACAAACTGTATTCTTGGTTCTTTCGGTAAAGTCACGTAGAAAGGAAATAATTAAATAATAAAAATTAAACTTAAATTTTCACGACGTTTTAATTGCAACACAAGCAATCATCATCATGATGATCATGATGATGATTGCTTGATCATGATGATCATTGCTTGTGTTGCAATCGAAACGTCATGAGAATTGTATGTTTTATTCTTATTATTTTATTATTTCCCTTGTACGTGACTTTACCGAAAGAACCAAGAATATGAATCCCTGCAGTCACGAAAGCTTTAAATCGAAAATTAACAAACTAGTTTAGCTGGTCGTCCTTCACCCGCACCTCCCATCAGCCACGGTTGGCTACGTACGGAACAAAAGAATCTCAATTTTGGAGCTTTCGTGACTGCAGGAATTATTCTTTGGTTCTTTCGGTTAAGTCGCGTACAAAAGAAGTTCAACGCACACGCGCGCACATTCTTTCATCGACGCCTCTCTCGCCTTCTCTCTCTCTTGTCCCA